CTTTACGTAATGAGTATTAACATCGTGTTAGGTAAAGAGCTAAGTTATTACGAAAGCCTTACGTAACGCTTCTAATTCAATAAGAAATAAAAAATAAAAAATAAAATAAGGAAGAAACAATTCATTGCGAAAAAGGAATGAAACAATAAGAAAGGTAAATTGTGAAAGGTGGTGACGGTACCTCTTGTTGCCATTGATTTATATTTTTTATTATTTTAATCAATGGTTTAAAATAAGTTTGATAGATTTAACAGTTTAGATTTATACAAGTTAACTAACTTGAAATTATTGGGTAATTCATTGTTATAAGAACCGAATCAGATTAACGACCAGGCTAGTAGAACCGCTAAATCAGTTATAATGCGGTTCTACTACTTAGATGGTTATTGATAAACTAAACTTTTTTCACGGTTCAACATAAAATCGGATGAACACCCAAGGTTTAACTGGTCCACTGGTCTATTATTTTAACAAAAAATTAAAAAAAATATTTTAACGTAAACGAAGACCATCAAATCATAATTATTAATTTTATATTTTCTTTCTCTTCTCATTTTCCAACCTTGTTGCCGACTTTACGTTGTCTGTTACCGACTGGCACCGTAATTTTTAATTTGAATAAAAAAATTATGATTTCTTTTGTGAGAGGGTTTGAATTATTTTATTATATATTTTGGTGATGATATGAATTTGAATTTGTTTGTGGTCAATAATAACTTCATTCTTAAATTATTGTAATATACAAGTCTTATATGTTACATAGCATGAACGGTTATATCAACAGTTTACCAACGATTTTGTAACGGTTAACCACTGAACTCTAAACCACTAACTATTCTGGTTCAGCCTTCGGTCCGGTTTACAATATATTAGTCTAATCTTGCACCAATATTAGTCATTTGTTTGTTAGCATATAGCTTTTTCTTAGCTAAAATACTAAATTTTGTAATGAAGACCGACATATATTTCTTCCAAATTAGTATTATGTTGTTAAGTCAATATTACTAATAAAACTGTTTATGAGAAGTTAACATTTGACTAATTTTTTGTAGGGTTAATATATTTGTATGGCCCAAACTTTTGAAAAATTAAATATTCTGGCCAATCTTTTCGATCTATAACATCGTGGTCTCAACTATGCATCAAAGTTGCGAAATAGGCCAAACTCGAGATTTGACCGTTAACTTGGACGGTCAAACGCGTTGATTAACGGTCAACGTGACACTTTACTGCCAAGTAAGCACAAACCACTTAAAATTTTGATTTTTTCCACCTATTACCATTTTTTTATTTTGAACAAAAGAAGAAAAAAAAAGGAACTCAAGTCTTTATTTTGAAAAAGATAAATGGTAATAGGTGAAAAAAATCAAAATTTGTAAGTGGTGTGTGTTGATTTGGCAGTGACATTGCGTATTGATCGTTAGTTAATGCGTTTAACCGTCTAAGATAACGGTCAAATCTCGGGGTTGGCCAATTTCATAAATTTGATGCATAGTTGAGGCCACGATGTTATAGATCGAAAAGATTGGTCATGATGTTTAATTTGTTAAAAGTTCAGGTCATACAAATATATTAACCTTTTTGTACCTAATAACTGCACAACAAATTTTTGGATTTGCAGCTTTTACCATACGACTCCAGTAAAAATCAATTTGTCAAATGCCTGGTGACTTATCAAGCCAGCAGAATAATTGAAACCAATACAGTTAAAAGCGTGATTCTACCTGAAAGCAAAAAGGGGGTAAAATCGAAAAAGCATAAGTTTTTTTATGCATCCTATATATATTAGTTAAAAATATGTTAAGTATGGCATGTACTATGTAAAATATGAGTGCACAGAGTTTAGATAAGTGAATAAATACCTGCAATTCATGTTTAAATTAGAGGTTGAGCAGCTCTAAGGGTAATTTATCACATTTTTCCAAAATCTACCATCAAGTACAATCTTTTGAACTCTTTTTCCTTCACGAAGTTTAGAAAAACTACTCTTCCTCCACCACTCAGAAGAAAACATTGTCATCAGGGAACCCTTATTGTCTTTAAGAGATCCCAATGTCAAATATGTTGTAGCAAATCTTGTAATAGCAGGTCTAACCAAATCTTTCCTTGGACTAAACTCCCTCATCATGGCAATCAACATTGTTCTTGCATAAATGAAATTGGTGATCTTCTTGCATAAATGACAGCAACCGTACTAACCTACTCTCAACAAACATAACAAAGAACAGAAGCAGAAAAGTATCCAAGAATCACACCTTCCTATCTCAACAAACATAACAAAGAACAGAAGCAGAAAAGTATCCAAGAATCACACCTTCCTAGTTGCTTGAGTTCTTTCTGTTGTATCGACTAGCAAAGGTTGAAGTCTTCAACTGCCAATAGGAAGTCTTCAAGGTCCTAAAATAAGATGATAGGTAGTTTAGAAAGATTTCGATCCAAGCACCGAAAATTGATTCCTTCATCCTTTTTTCTGGGTTTGCTAAGACAAGAAGGAACAAATTCTGAATGGGACTTCTATCCCTCTCCTTTAAGCATATTTCATGGAATGAAATAACTTTTTTCCACCCAGAAATAACAGTTGCTACTGCCCTCTAAGCTTCATCAAGCACTGACCCTACCAAGGACTAGGAAGAGACATAAAGTAAACCGGGTGTGGCGTTGGCGAGTGGCGACGGGCGCCTGCGAGTGCCACGGGCATCGACGAGTGCCACGGGTGTTGGGCACTGCCACACTGGAGCTGGCGAGTGCCACGGGCGATGGAGCTCAGAGCTTGGCGAGTGTAAATGCTTCGATGGAGCTGGCGAGTGCGGCGGTTGCGGCGGCGGCGGATGCTTCGCTGGAAGGCCTGCCGGGCGGCAGCGGAGGGTGCTCCGCTGAGATGGCTTACTTCGTCGAGAAGGGTGGGTGCTGGAGATGAAGAGAATTATGGATTGTGAAAGAATGGCAGCCCAATATCCACCCTTTCCCCTTTTTTCCCAAAATACAAAAACATCATTGTTTTGATTGAGTGGAGACAGTTTTCTCCTTTGCTTGGAATCATAAAAATAAAATCAATTTTTATCCGTTTTCACCAATTCTAACGATTCAACTTACACTTTTGACCAATTTTGAGTATAAAATTATTTTATTAGTGATTTTAAACGTTTTCCTATCCTAGAAACGTAAATCGTAGGATTTTACGCTTTAACGCTCGATTTTGATTGCATTGATTGAAACTAACAAACACAACTCTGGTGCCCCTCGAAGGATATCCATTGACACAACACACTTGGGGCCAGGAAAACTACAGCTTCAAAACGTAATGCTCTTACTAACGTACACAACCTTTCACCATCTTATTCAAGTATTATTGAATCTCAACTCCTTCATGGCAACAACAATAAATTCACATTCTACCGATCATACTTTACACGACTTCTCCATATCTAATTTCAAGGTCATTCATTTATCACAATCCTAACTAGCTTATAACCCGACCCGTTATTCAAAGGCAACTGAGCCGAATATTGAATTATTGGTATGGACGTAATAATGCTCTTAGCTCACGTATATTGTGGAGGACAACATCTCAATAGTCACTTGTCATTAGTTGGTAACGTAATAGGGAATAAGTGACGTGAATTTGTTTGGGTATTTAAGATAGCAAAGAAGACTGCATAAATGGTACCTACTTCGAGATAATTAAACTGAACATCTTGCAAGTCTTCATTGTATATACCAAATATGCGAGGACAACACTTCGAATTGGATAAGAGATTTCCAGGAGTAGGCAAACCCTTTAAGTGGAAAAAAGTAATTAGAAGAAAGATTAAAATTAAAAGAAATAAAAATTTAATTATCCAAATTGATATGAAGACTAAAATATTGGTGAGAATCCAAATGTAGCATGTTTGTAAAATATAAAGGCATGAAACACACTTAAAAAGAAAAAAAAAACATCATCTCTATGTCTTTCTGGTTTGTTTATCTTCCGACCATAGTGAGCATTCACAAGAAAAAAGAGAATGTCAATAAAACTGAGGAATGTTGTAGAGCGATGGTGTTATGGCATCGTGTTTTCTTTTGGAGTGATTGGAAGATGTGGTAAACGTATAAATCTTTGGCAATAACAACATCAGCATTAATATTGTCAGTACTTCCGTATAGTGATGACCTAGGTGGGGATCCAAGGGTGGTCATAGATTGGGAAGAAGAATGAACACTCTGGATAGTAGCCTGTGGTAAAAGATAAAGTGGTGAGAATGGTAAAAAAACGCATGACTTTGTATTCATTCAAATAAACATTGTCATAACTAATAAAGAATTGCAGTGTCACATAAAATCTTGTCATATATCGGTACCATTATTGTATCCTAACCTGCCATTTGTAATGGATTACTTTGAAATACAACTGCATTTTAGAGAATAAACACCCATAAGGGTATTAGGAAACCATGCTTAATCCAAAATCTTTTTATTCCAATTTGAAGGTTCCCTTTTTAAAAATTGGAGAGTTTAACATGTCACATCAAAGACTCATTTGAAAAAATCTCAAACCACTATTAATGAATCCAAGATAAAGACACGTTTCAAATTCTGTGTTTGTTGGAATAGTCCCAAATAATTATCAACTAATGCCCCAACTACCTGATGTTCAGAATAACTCTGGAGCTGTACTGTTGTTCGCGTTGGTCTACCTTCAACGTAGTTGCATCACGAACCAAAACAATTAAGAAAAATTCTTCATACTCCAAATAAAATGACTCAATTCAATCTGGTCGACGCTTTATACATATTGGTTACCCCTGGGTCTGATGTACTTGTTGCCTTTTGATTTTCATGAACACAATACAATTAAGGAGAGGAGAATGTCAACGGAGTGGAATGTGTTAATTAAGTGAATCACCATACAACTGAACAATCAAGGTCTTTTTGATCTATCAGAATAGTGGGGTAGCTCCAATCCGTCGGTTTCTCCCTCTGTGCATTCCAGTTAGAATCACTGGCCTAGGTATTAGAATCATTGCTGATCCTGAGGGCTCTCTAATGGGGAGTTCGATAGGGCCGCAATTTGTTGGCAATGATACGACTGAGATGAGATTGGTTGGTGCACTTAGGGAGGTATTAGCTGGGGGTCATCTCGGGTACGAGGAGGTCCAAGGTGTTCTGAGAGATGTTCTTCCCTTAAATGTTGAAGATGACAAAGACAGCTCGAAAGAGTCATTAGTTTCGGCGTTCTTAATTGGTCAGCGGGTGAACAGGGAGACAGATCGTGAATTGAAAGCATATTGCCTTGCTTTTGATGATGAACTTGGTAAGCATTCCATTGTTTGACACGCCTTTTAGAGTGATCATTCATGAAAAACTTTCCAATTAGCTATATAACCTCTGTTGCCTGATTCTACTAACAGTTGGCTATTAGGTCCTCCTTCAGTTGCTGATGTGGGATCATTGACCCATTATGGTGAACCTTATGATGGGAACACACGTTTCTTCCGGAGCACGTTGTTTGTTGCTGCTGTTAGATCCTGTTATGGTGAATCTTCATTGCTCCATGGTGTGGACTGGATGCCACCTAAGGTCAGTCTTCAACTCATTTATGTTTCCCGCAAATTGACGTATTGGTGATTTAGGGTTCCTATTATTTTCTGGATCTCGAAATCCTTCAACTGTGGTGATTGATATGGTGGTACCATATGATTACAAATGTCGAAACTTCCCATAGGAATCCTCATTTGTTCTTCCCATACTGCATTCAGACTTTCATATTCTAAGGACTAAGATGGAAATGGTGATAATTGTCCTAGGGAGGGATAACCGAAGAACAAATGCTGAAGTTCATGGGTGCAAATACACACCTAAACCCGTTGCAGGCGAAAGAGCTTCTTGAGGTAGGTGTGATGCTCAAATAGTGACAAGAACGACAATCATTCCTTTCTTTTTGCACTCATGTTTAACTCCTCTTGTTGCAGCATTTCCGTTGCTGTTTTGTTGTTCCTAATTTATCCACTTACCACCCATTTTTGGTGTACCACCTATTTTTCTAACTTTTCCCTTGTATTCATTCAGGATAAAGATCTTGGTTTTGCCTACTTAAGTCAGCGTGAGGCTCGCCCATCCCTGTACGGAATCTAATTGAGTATTTATTTGAAGCCTGTATTTTTGTTCTTGCTTGTTCTCCTCACCCTATAGAGAAGGCCTTATGCTGCTGACTGCTGTTGTAACTATTGTAATCGTCCTTGAGTGTCCACTTGTGACTGTATGCTCACAGTTACTCTTGATATTCATTTTGCTTGCCTAATGTTTCAGGAACTAAAAATTGCAATGACATTTCCATCTTGCAGATTTTCATTAATTTGGTTGAGGGAGCACATAAAGAAGCGTCCCCCACTGGCAACCACAGAAAAGGTTCAACAGTTAGTAAGGGTGAGCCAAATTATATTCACTATTTTTGTCATCTGTAATCCTTTTTATTTGTGAACCAGTTATAGATGCAATGCAGTTAGCTCTGTTGCCTAATCTGTGCAGGCCAAGGGAAGGGAAGCAATTGTTGCTGGATTCTATCATGAAGGCTATGAGGAGCCTCTTTTGATGCTTATGAGAAGAAGAGGTGTACATTCTGGTTTGGTGGTTAAGGTTAAAAAGTCTCGGACTTTCATGTTTATTGATTTGTGGCTTTCTTTTCTCTTATCGTGGTAGAAAAGAGATTCATCTAGCTAGGAGTGGGGAGTTTTAAGAGGTATACCATGCAAAAAGAGATTCGCCTAATTTACTGGTTGTTTCATCCTAGTGTAGGGTGAGGAAGGTGCCCTCTCTATGACAACAAGACTGAGGTCAGGAAATGCATCAAAAGGACTCCCGGTCAACTACTGCTCTGGATTTCGCTCATCCACTGCGGCATCTGCTCTTGAAGTCGATGGTTTGCCTCTTTTGCTTTGATACATCTCCTGGAACTTTCCTTTCAAAGGAGCCTCTTGCCATAGTTTTTGTTCATTTGCCATTGTCATTCCTAGCAGGTGTCTCACGTCAGAGCTTTAGCATTGATCAAAAGGGTCCTGCATATGATCGTATTGTATTAAACGCTGGAATGATTGATCACTTGCTGGGATGTGACGGTGCAGAAGATGTAAATTCAGCCCTGGATAGAGCTAGAGAAGCCATCGATAGTGGTCGTGCACTCAAAAGGTTCCTAAATTATATCAAGGCCAGCAATAAGATGAAGCGAATGAGGTCTACAGTATCCTTTCCACTGGTGTAACACATTACCTTCTTTCTCGTCCTGGATCAGTGTGAATGAGAAATGCACAGTTACATGTAATTCATAGGGCCGTGTTTTTTGCAGAATCTCAAGAACATTGCCTTTTAGAGCAAATGGATGCTCTTTTTCGTTCTTCTTCCAGCTTTTATTCATAACAATCCATCATTCATTATAAATAAGAAATGCTAAAGACAAACATTGATTTTTGTACTTGTGCCTCTTATTGCCGGATACTCATACGCCGTTGAAGAGAACAAAGAAGAAAAGAACCAAAAAATTCCTGGGGAACAAAAGCCTCTTATAGACGATGATGGAAAAGCTTGTAATCATTACGATCAGATCTGAAGGGCAGCTGCTATTGAACTAGCCAGGCTAAGAACCTCAAATGGTTGTCTGTTCATCACTGCCTTAACTGTCGATGGGCATGAATCCGTGATCCAGAAGTGGGTCAGTCCAGTAGCTGGATTACCTGTTACCAGACAAGAACCCCGTTTAAAGACTGATTTAAAGACTGATGCATCAATAATACCTTCAGAAAAATCGTTATAAATCCATACCATGTACAACCAGCATGGTATGAGTTATGATATCAAAACACTAGACCATACCTGCACTGTCGGACTGAAAGCGCTGCCACGACTGATTAGGGAAAATGCCATGCGTAACATAAGCGCTTACTCTTGTTGCACCATGCTTGGCCAGCACTTTCTGTTGGGAACACACAATGGTTTTATTTTTGTCAAGTGCACCAGAGCTTCTTTGTTTACTTGATACATGTAAAGGCTTTACTTGGAGTAGAAACTTCCACTGAAACTCGTCTATAATGCTTGACCGAAAAGCTGGCTGTGATTTTTACCTGACATTCAATCAAGGTGCCACCTGACTGAACTAGGTCATCAACAATCACTACATGCCGTCCTTGAGGGTCTCCTTCCTTGATACGCACGATTCTCTGTTCACCTTCCCGAACCTTTGCACACACAATCTGAAAATCGCAGACAGAAATCAGAGGGCTCAGCAAACAAACTACATGAATATAGAGAGAAATTAGACTCCCTGGAAGTAGTCATTTACAGTACCGTGGGGAAATGCTGTAGTTGTTTATGAAACCTTTTCCACGCTCCATCATCCGGGAAAGCTATTGCTATCTGAAAAAGAAAAGAGAAAAGGATCCATCAAGTCATCCACCAAGTCCGTTCCTTCATAACCATGCTTTGATACAGAGTGGTTGTCAATATTTAACAGGAATATAGCAGATTTGCATAACCTTACATTACGAGAATCTGGAAGCTGCTGCAACCTATTCATAAGCAAAGGTATCCCACTTTCGAAGCATGGCAGAATGGTATCCCCGAAGTAAAACCTCTCCTAAACATACACTCAACCAATAATCAGTCGAAAAGGAAAGTCAGAAACTTCCATACAAGCCAAGCAAAACCCACGAGGCAAAACCTTAAAACAGACAGACCTGCAAGGCATGGATATCAAAAGTAACCAAGCTAGTAGGCCCTCCTCTTGAAGTTGGTATGTTGGACAAGATCCTAGCAAGAGTAAAAGCTGTGGCAACGTCTCCTTCATCCTCCATACGCTCTGATGTGCCAGTGGGGAAGAAGGGCAGGACCAGAGTGAAGGAAGAGATGAACAGTTTGGGCAGTGCATAGATGATTGATAGCTGCTCAAATATCACCTTTGGCGAGCTAAATGATGCCAAGAAAGCAACATGCTGGCCCCGAATCCCTTGTGCGTTTGGTATGAACAAGTTTGGGAATCCATCATCAAACGTCCTATCAAACACCCACCATTATATATTTTTTGTGGAAATTCAGAACAGACATTAGAGAATCTCCAAAATCTTTGTAGGAAGTGTAACAATGCTGCACGAAGTTTCCGATAAATCAATGACCTATCATTATTCTATTATTATCACAGACATTAAGGAAAATGTACCAAATCTGACAGTGAAGAATAAACTTTTCCGCAGAATTGAGGCTAATGCGGGGAAATGATGGAATCTGCGTACTCACTTCCAGTTGATGGAACGAAGCTCGATAGCGTCGGAGCGATTAGCAATTCGCTCAGCCAAGGCCTTGGTCTCGTCGCAGTAGAAAAGGCAGACCCGTTTGACGCCTTTCGACCCGGAATCCGACGACGCAGTGGCAGCCATTGGAACGGAAGAAGGAGGGGGGGAGCTCTGGATTGAATGTAACTGGCCGGAGCCAGATAAAAACCTGACGGTTAAATTCTGTTGGTGGCTCTCAAAACTCTTGATTTCGCAGCAAACGCGGCTAGAGCTGCAATTGCTCGTCAGAGACGGAAACGAATTGGTCCGACACGGATTGACTTGGAGGAGAAGAGGAGAAGAGAAATAGGAGCATTTGGAGTAGGGGTTGGGCAAAGGAGAACGGGTCGGGCAGTGGAGCCAGGAATGGAGCAGGGAGTTTGTCGCCGCCGCCGCCGCCATAAATAAGGAGAAAAGAGTGGAGATGGCTGCTTTGTATTTCTTCTGCAGCTGACGAGGAACCGGGGTGGCGGGTTTGTCGCGTTGTTAGGCGGAATTCGAGCGGGGACGGCGGGTATTCGTTGAGAACGAGGAGGAGTTGAGGGGGCGGAAGTACGGCGAGGCTGCCATCGCCATGGATCCACGACGGAACTCCAAGGTTCCGCATACTGTTGGTTTACACTGGGAAGGAATGTGGATAGGACCGGCGGCTTTCAGTGGTGGGTTAGGTTGGGTTGGGCTTAGAAGACCACATACTGGGTCTGATGGCCCACTTCAGCCCAGAATGACCCGGGCAGGCCGTACTCACTCCATATGCATAACTTCTTTTTTTAATAATATAATACCCCATATGCATAACTTCCGGTCAGCATACGCGCGGGAAATAATTGTTGAAATGAACTCCTCCATGGCTGCCAAGTTTGTTGGATTGTACTTCCGCATTTGAGTTGTAGACATGCGTGTTGCCGCAAGAGGGAGGGAAGGGCAAGGGCAAGGGGATGAACTTATTGGATATATCATATATATGTAGGATTTGAAGATGAAGATTGGGATGATCTAACCATCATCGATGCTTAGGAGTCTTTGCAACAAAGACGTCCAAAATTAAAAGCAATAAATGAGCTGAGCATAGGACGACATTGTGTCACTAAGCGCCAATTTAACTTCAACATTTACTGTACATGCTCAGATGGTCTTGTATCACTGATCGAAACTTTAGAATTCCTTTTCAAGCCCAAGAACTAATAGAACTTATACTTACACTCCATACACTACATGTCTTCACCCCAAAGTTAAGTAAATAGCTCACGAAGCCCTAAACCTCCTTATTTCCTAGGTTTAGTCACTCTATCCCAAGTCCCAACGACCTTTGCCTTGTCTTCTACCCCCATCATGCCAAAAAATTTATCAGATAAAAGTGTGTATTTCTTTTATCCATTTTAGGCAACAGAAAAATCTACATCGAGAACTACCAAACCCTCCATTGGAACATAAGAGATTAATTGGAGCCGCTGCAGAACTCGGTTTCTTTTGAACGCTGGCCTAATCTTCTAAGTAATCTTGACCATAAATCAATCACGGTTATTAGAGGATATTTTTCTTAAAATAAAGGGAAGACGTAAGTATCTCATTGCACTCTACCCTCGTGAAATTTATACATCTAAAACATGATATTTATAGATCACTAAAACCCACCAAAATAAACTACACATTTCACTAGATTATAATTTAACCTAGACAACCCATTCAGTCAAAACATTTTGGATCTTTCTAAGGGCTGGAATTGATCTCTCAGTAAATATGAGGAGTTAATCTACAAAAACAAGATGTGTGAGAGCTACTTTTTTACATTGAGAATGAAATGGCAAAGACTCATTTAGCCGTTGATGCATTCAAAACCAATAATAACCCTCCATACCTATGGTAAACAGATAGCTATGATAACCACGGACTATAGCTCCTCTGTCATTAGGATATTGTCCTAATACGTCTACCCTCAATTAAAGTTAATTAGTTTCCACTAATTACTTTGGAATGGAGCGTTTTTAATATGCTAGCAAGCACTTGTGCAATGATATTAAAGAGGAGATTAACACATGAGATAGGTATTAAATATTTTAAAAACGGGAAGAGGGAACCTTAGGCAAAAAAGAGATAGTTGTGGAATGAAGCACATGTCTAGGGTAAGGTAGTAGGACAGAAGGGTGAAATAATAAGATATCTTCAGACAAGGATATAATCTTCCATGCTCTCATCATCTCGTATTATAACATGGTACTTCTCCCAAATCATAAAATGACAATTGCTCATTCTTTCACATAAATAACTCTTTTGATCAACCTAACAAAAAGGGAAATAAACCACACCTCACCATTTTAGAGGTCTGTGATGAAGATGAAGAAGCACCTAAATTTTTTTGGGTAATCCGTTTTAATTATTTCGCAACATCTAAAAGTTCTTTATGTGTGTTATTAAGTTAAGAATTTCACTCAAATTTGAAAAATAAAATTGAATTCTTACGATAATTTATCATTTACATTGTTGTATTTGGAATATAGAACATCCGGATGGCTAATTCGTGAGTATGCTAAACATTGAAGAAACACCATATCCATATAGTTCTCATGCTTCTTCTCCACACGTCATCAAGCACGAATCTAAAGTTAAGTCACTACAGCTGCCCTGTGCCAAAAGATATGCCTACATCAATCAAAGCGCGACAACCAAACTAACTTCCTATCTTCAAATTGGAGTCAAGGGGAAAAAGATCAAATACTTCCAAAGGGGAATAGATGAAGCTCGGGAGAGCCACGACCAAGAAGTCGAAGTTTGAAGCCACACCACATTTCATGCAATTCAATTATCCTTTCAGAAATAACACCACAACAAAATAAAAAAATTGGAAATTTTATCCCCAAACAAAAGAGAGAAATCAAACTAAAACACAAATTCAGTGGCTATGGTGGTGCCCCATAACGAACCCATTGGTCCAAATGTCCTCATTGTTTACCCATTGCCACATAAAAAATATTAACAATTCCGTCGTCTTACTTGACCGTAGGCGCCAAACATAACTGACACTCATCGCCATTCCTCATCTGCCAGCCAAAATCACAGCTCCGACTCGCGCCACTCAGCAAACTTCAACTTGTGCATAGAAAGTCCCCACCTTTACTGTTCCAGGTGCAGTACCCAGTTTGACCCAGTTCTTACTTCCTCTTGATTTGTTTCGTTCTGTTTGATTGAGTGTCAGTGCGAATTGGGTCAGTTGAAACTTTTGGTTTCTCGATTGAGTCTAATTAAATTTCATTTTGGTTAGTGGGTCTTGCTCTTTTGATCGCATAGTTAACTGGGTTCTTTAGTTTCATGAGAATCGATGACTTCTCCAGAGTCGTCTCTCGCATTTCATTCTGAGTGGGCTTCATTTCTTTGATGTATATTTTCTCAGAAGAGAAACTAAGTTTTTTTTTTTTTTTTGGGATTTCCTCTGTTAATCGATAGATAGAGGGCGAGCATATTAGCCATGGCGCCCAAGGGTTTGGATTACGAACACCTGAACGAAAACGTGAAGAAGGTTCAGTATGCTGTGAGGGGCGAGCTGTACCTTCGAGCTTCTGAGCTTCAGAAGGAAGGAAAGAAGGTTCCAATCTTGGACTTTTTCACTAGATTTCCTTTGTACGTTACTTTGCCTCTTTCGGATTTATGATGTTAGCTAGCTGCTGCTGCCCTTTTTTATTCAATTTCTATGAAATTTTTGTCCTACCTCAAAGCAGAAACCTTGTTGTCCTATGACAGGCAGCAAACTCTCTTGATTTGTCGCCTTAGATTAGCATGGTGATGATGTCACTGTAGTTGTGCTAGTTATTTCGAGGAGTGTTATGTGTCATTTATCTGTTCAGGTTCATTGCAATATGCAAGTCCTCAGAAGTCAGATGGCAGCTACCTAAAACCAACTTAAAGTTCCCTGCTGGTTCTTTTTGGGGCTTAATCTATTGGTTCTTGATTAATTAACTGTTGGATAATATTGTTTTGATGTAGATCATTTTCACAAATGTTGGCAACCCTCATGCTCTTGGACAAAAGCCACTGACCTTCCCTCGACAGGTTTTCATAAGCAGTAACTTTTAAGCTCATCAAGTTTCTTATTAACTTAGCTTAAGTTCGATTCTAGTTTGATTGATTAAAAGGAGATGTTGAATTTCAAAGGTGGTTGCTCTTTGCCAAGCTCCCTTTCTACTGGATGATCCTAATGTGGGACTTATGTTCCCTGCTGATGCCATCGCAAGGGCTAAACATTACCTTTCCTTGACCTCTGGTGGTTTAGGTATCATTTTCCCACCTTCGTTTCTCCATACATTTCTGCATGCTTCTTGTGTCACCGGATAATTGTTGTTTCCCTCATCGTTTCTCAGGTGCATACAGCGACTCCAGAGGCATTCCAGGAGTAAGGAAGGAGGTTGCAGACTTCCTTCTAAGACGCGATGGTTACCCAAGGTGACTAAATTAGTTTCCTATGTCTTTGGGTTTTGATCCCTATGAACTAGGAGGAGGACTAACTTTTCTGTTCTTGGGCCTGGTGGACAGCGATCCAGAATTGATATTTCTCACTGATGGAGCAAGCAAAGGTGTGATGCAAATCTTGAACACGATCATTAGAGGTCCAAATGATGGGGTAAGTCAAATCTTTTTGTTTCTGTTCTCTTCATAACAACATTCCTTTGCTTTTTTCTCACAATCATTGTATTCGTTGTCGGCAGATCCTGGTTCCAGTGCCACAATACCCACTTTACTCAGCTGCAATCAGTCTGTTTGGTGGTACTCTTGTCCCATATTACTTGGAAGAGACGGCAAACTGGGGTCTCGACGTGAATGACCTGAGAAACGCGGTTTCTCAAGCTCAATTCAAAGGGATAACTGTTAGTACATTCTGTCTTTACTTGCCCATGGTGATTTCCTACTGCAGTTTGCCATGAATTGCTGAACTGAACTTTGTTATACAATGGAATGTGGATCAGGTGAGAGCAATGGTGATAATCAACCCTGGAAATCCCACTGGTCAGTGTCTTAGTGAAGCGAACTTGAGCGAAATACTGCGCTTCTGTTATCAAGAGGGCCTTGTCCTCCTTGGAGATGAGGTTTACCAGCAGAACATCTACCAGGACGAACGCCCATTTATCAGCTCTAAGAAGGTATGTTTGTGCCTTCCCCTGTCGGTGTAGTGTTATTATTTAGTCCGCTTAGTGACTTGACTCACACTTTGTGAAGGTCTTGATGGACATGGGTCCGCCTTATAGCAAGGAGGTTCAGCTTGTTTCGTTCCACACTGTTTCTAAAGGATACTGGGGCGAATGTGGGCAGAGAGGTGGATACTTTGAGATGACCAACATTCCTCCAAAGGTTTTGATTTACTTCTCTTAGGACATAAACCAGATAATGGGTATCCTTCTATTAGAACGTTACTTGATCGAGAAGCTAAATGTTTGAGCTTTTGTGTATGACCAATTTGATATTGCAGTCAGTTGACGAGATATACAAGGTTGCATCAATTGCCCTCAGTCCAAATGTCCCTGCTCAGATATTCGTACGTGTACACAAACTCGATGATCACTCGTATTTCACGAATGGATATCACCGCTCCACTGTTGCTAATTTAACTTGGTCAAATTTGTGTGTGTACGCAGATGGGGCTGATGGTCAACCCATTGAAACCTGGGGACGTGTCTTATGAGCAGTTCATTAGGGAAAGGTAACGTCTGCTATGATTTGCGACAGTCATTGTGTGGTATGAGTTGCATAATCCGATTTCTCAAATGATGAATGATGTGCAGCAAGGGGATCCTCGAATCACTAAGGAAAAGGGCTCGGATTATGACAGATGGCTTCAACAGCTGCCGCAATGTGGTCTGCAATTTCACTGAAGGTTAGCTTCCTCTATAGCTTATGCAAATATATAACTGCCAGCCACTACATTATACTTACTGTTAACCTTAACGTACTTACTATATTTGTTTTAAACACGCGGGTTATCAGGTGCCATGTATTCGTTCCCTCAAATACGGTTGCCACCCAAGGCGATCGAGGCTGCCAAGAGCGCTGGTAAAGTTCCTGATGTCTTCTACTGTCTCAAGCTACTGGAAGCCACAGGCATCTCCACAGTCCCCGGCTCAGGATTCGGCCAGAAAGAAGGGTAAGTAATCCAGAACTGAACCAACCCATCTTAACCTCACCATATCTGGGTTTGTTGTTCCATCCATATAACATGATGGTTGTTCCTGTGTTTTAAATTTTCGCAGGGTTTTCCATCTGAGGACAACCATCTTACCAGCGGAGGAAGACATGCCAGCTATCATGGAAAGCTTTAAGAAGTTCAATGACGGGTTCATGGAGCAGTATGAAGATACCAGGGGTTACTCCAGGATGTAAAGTCCCCACCCTCCACCACAATATTGCTATCATCATTATTATTTCAGTACAGCACAGTAAAAAATTGTTATCACGATGATGATGATTATATTCTTCTCTGGCTTTTTTATCCTTCCCAAAAAAAAAGCCTATTCCCATATATGTTCTCATTCACTCTCTCTCTCTCTCTCTCTCTCTCTCTCTCTCTTCCTATCCCAACTAAAGATTTGCATCTATGTAGCTGTAAGTCTGCAACTTTTCACAAAATTTCACATTGCATGTCTGCACTTGATTTTTTTTTTTTTTTTTTGCTTTTACTTTTTCCTTTCGCTAACTGGAAAGGGAAGTTGGATGGTTGTGATATGTTTGGAGGGTAGACAGTTGAGATAGAGAATCAGGAACATGCTCTGATCTCATATCACAAAATGGGAACTTTTTTCTACTCTAACAAGTCTCTCCACATGGGACTTTCTTATTTCAGATTTGGGAACCCCATTCTCCCTTGTTTTTTAGCTTGCATTGCACATGGCTTGTCACAAAGGGGGCTGGGTGAAGCAAGAAAATGGAGGTGTTTTCTGTTTGGTAGCCTGTTCTTTTGCCAAGAAAAGAGGAGTGGGAAAAAGTAGGCTACTTCCTATTAAGGATCCCAAATCTTTTCTCGGTTATTCTTTATAACCTTTCCCCCAATTTGCAGCAAGAGAGGTGAAGAGAAGAGAAGAGCCGACTTTTGTTCTGTTTTCATGTTTTTCTCTCTTTAAGGATCTCAGAAAGGGTTGCTTTTCCAAGTTGAGAAAGGAGGGAGATCGAAGGTTACTGCAGATAATAGGAAGGAAGGAAGGAAGTTCCAGATCCAATTTCTTTTTAATTTGCAAAGTCCATTTTTAAAAATTGGTTCTTTTTGTTTTTCAACGAACAAACAAATATGTTGTTTTTTACCATAAAAAAAGAACAGGAGCCGGGAGGGATATGGATAAAAATGTAAGGAAAAGGTGTCCAAATACCAAAGTAGAAGAAGAAGAGCATCAAATCATTTTTGTGAGATGATCCCGAAATTAAGCCCTGAGATTATGCCTTTCTCCTCCCTACTTGGGGGACATAATCTATTAATCTGATTCACTTTTCAAACTAGAGCTTGCCCTCGTCCTGCCTCAAAGTTAAAGGCATAAACTTGTGCCCCTGCATCCGATGACTCCTTTACCCGCCGGAATATTATTGTGTAATTTTCCGGTAATCGAATTCATTTCGGAGCATCGCCAAAGTATTAAATATCCTTGATTTTTGGAAAGACCCTTAAACACGCTATTAAAGGCTTTATATTTTTTACTGAATAGGGCAGCCGGCTTGCTTCTTCCTCCTCCTTCCCTCCGGCGCTCTAGTACCTGGCGGCGGCAGTAGATTGGGGTTGGGGGCGACAGTTCTTTTTCTGAATGAGGGCGGTGGATGTGGGTTGGGGTGAGGAAGGGATTGTTTGGTTCGGTTAGATTGAAATTGGATTGAGGGTAAATATGTCAATTTGTTGAGTTTTAGGGTGATAAAATTTGAATTTTAGGACAACGAATAGCGATTCAGTAATTATTATGGGCGGTTCTTTTTCTCCATTGGCGAATCAAGATGACGATGATGATGGTGGTGGGCTGTTTGCTGCCTCTTTGTGTTTCTACTTACATCACTTTCTTCTTCTTGTAACACCCTAGTTCGGCCGGACACTATTTTTACCAAAATACCCTTATTAAATCGTTAACCATAATTGAAATCACAAGGCTTGGAAAAAATAACGAGAAATATTTCTTTAATAAATTTAATAAATCTCTTGAAATTCAAATAAAAATATCTTGAAACTTGCATAAGAGAGAATCATAAGAATTCTTAATAAATGTGCATCAAGTCTTAAATCCATCATGTATATGAGAATTAAATTTCTCATACCGAAAATCCTCTGGAGCCTTGAACCCTTGTCGTGGTCTAGTCAACTTTACTATACGTACTGCCAACAATCCTACAAGTTCTTAGTGCGGGTGTGGGGTCAATCCTATGTCCTAGATTCATTTTATTGATAAAGAAGTAGCTTGACATACATACATAAATAATGCACATGCTCAAGATCATGCAATGCCTGAGTATAGTAAGCTTTGTTTACTTGGAAATAATTTCGTGAAGGGGGCCCGATCTCAACTTAACTAGCACACTACCACGGTCACCAACTTACTTACTTATAACATGAACATACTTATAATATGGGTTTCCTCATATGGGAAACACAATACCACACGCTGTACATGGCTGTGAGGTACCTCATAACAGGACCACCTTATAACCCAGGAGCGAGGGTTCGTAACCTCCTTATTACTTAGGAGTGGGGTTCGTACATACATAAAAGAGTACTCCCTCACCGTGGGGAGTGAGGTGACCATGGGTAGGTAGCTAAGAGAGAGTTAAAACGCGATCTTACTTGCTGATAAATCCACCAAACATACTTGCTTAAATTCATTTTCCACACTATGGGAAAATATAAGCTAGTATACTTAAAACATAACGTATTTTCCGTTGTCTTAATCAGTGATGCATATGCAATGAAATGCTTACGGAAACGTAAGAATTGAACATAATCGTACATAGCATAAAAGGATAAAGGAGCATAACTTAACAACTTATCATAATAACGAAATAATGCAAATACTTGAATATAAATCAATTAAACCACACTATTATCAAATACGTTATAGTGAGTTACTAACTAGGCCCCCTTAGACCAACACACCTTGATTTCAGGCCGATCAGTTTGAACTATTCCCCAACCTTGTTCATCATCAGGCGTTCCAACCCCTTGCTCGATGTGTAGGACCTCCACATAATAGCCAAATGCTTAAGGTTCGACACCTTCATAATCCATACCTTGAGCAGCAACCTCAGGGCTCAGGGTCGACATCTTTAGCTGAGGCCTCTGATTGAAGAGAAGAAACACACCGGCGGTTGCACTTCCACATCGTCGTCGCCATAGTCTGCCATCTCGTGCATCATCGTCGCCTCCCTTCTCATTTATCCCGATCTGTCTGTCTCTCTCTTTTCCATTTACTTACGTTGAGCGGTGCAAGGATTTCTAGTCCTTTTTAATAGGGCTGGCTATTTGGACCGGGATCGGATGAAAAACCGGAAACCGGACCGTATAACCCGGACCGAGACCGGATAGTAAACAATCCAATTCAATATTTGGGCTTAGATTTGAGGTAAAAAACCAGATAAAGACCGGATAAGAGAGCTCAACACCCAAAACTTAAGAGTAATTTGCATAAACGGTCACAAACCTTTGCACTTAGTACAAAACTTAACCAACTCCTCACCCTTTTAGGCCTTAGACCACTCAAATTCCCACAATCTCAATATAAAATCAAGACCGAATTGGGACCGGACCGGATCAAGACCGGACTGTATCCAATCCAATCTTCGGTCCTTATATTTTCAAAAAACCGGACTGGACCGGATCAATTTGGGCCAATTTAACCGGACCGGACCGTATAGCCACCCCTACTTTTCAACCTCAAGAACCCCATCGGCCACCGTTCGCTATTTACATTTCTCATAATTATTATTAAACCCAATTAATTCCCCTTAGCTAATATAATCTTAAATTATTAAGATAACTATTATTATAAATGTAAAAGTCAACCTATGAGTCTCCCGTCAACTAATTTAGTATTTCGTATTATACATGTGTTTGGCTTCGGTTTATTCGGAACCTTCGATCCAATCGTATATTTATTATTGGTTGAACCTAAATCCAAAGTTTGGGGTGTTACAGTTCTTCTAACTCGATTTGTTTTTTTTTTCTTTTCCTTTTTTTGTTCTTCTTGCCACAAGTAATCAATAACTTGTAGTAAAAAGTAGAAAATAATGGCACCTGTAACATAGCCTAGTGGTGAAACCACTGGACCAATTGAGTTCTGGATGTGGGAGGTCCTGAGTTCGATTCCCAGTGGCGCCACTTGAGCGTTCCCGGCGGCACCCTTGGTATCGGAGACGAAGCCTCCCCGATGTTGGTAGCAGAAAGCCTCGGTTAGTATGCAGGTACCTCCAGTGGTTTAGTAGGCCCTGCTGTCGCTCAAGCGGCACGTGGGGCTGAGGTTCCCTGGTTTTTCAACAACAACAAAAAAGTAACTAATCATGTCACACAATCATGCTTCTAGGTTTCAATGTTAGCTCAATGATCATGTAACTAGGTACCGAGAGCATTAGGTCTAGACTCTCCAATTGGATTAATCCCTACGCAAATGGAACTTCGACTCAATGATCATGTAATTAAAATCCCACAATATTTATGCATGTTCCAGCCTTGACCTAAGAGGATGGTCACCTCAACCTAGGTCAAGAACAATTCAATAGGTACCTCTACCGAAGCAAGATATTGGCATATGATTAAAGATCAAATAGACATAGATATATAGGTTCACCATCATCCTTACATACAAACTCAAAAACAATCTACAAGCTAGGGTTCATCTTCTTAAGCAACAAGAGAAACTAGAACATAGAGAGAAAGAGTGTACAATGATGAAGAAGAACACCAATCTTGAACTAGATCCATCTACTCCTTGCTTTGGCCACCCTTATTTGGTATAGGGAGGATTTCGGGATACGATGAAGAAGAAATCACTCAAAATCTCTACAATCTCTCCAAACTATATTTTTCTCTCTTTAAAATACCTCTCATTGTTAACAAACCCTTCACATTTATAAACTCACACACATAGAGATATCGCCTAGGGATCGGAGGAGTTCTCGACAATGGTATGGGGCACGAATCCCATGAACTATCAAAAGTTGATACATGCCAGGGCCAGGGGTCATGGATGTGAGCTGGCCCTGACCATGTTCACGGTTAGAGATCACACCCGAGATCTTTTCTTGCGGCCGTGAACTCTGTCTCGCGGTCTGGCCTGTTGAAGCCGTGAGGATGGCCATGAGACCTTCTGTACTTCATCGTTTGTTGCCCCCATGGAATTCACAGTCATTGATCCGTGAACAATGGTCGTGATGTACATCATGGCTTGGGTCACAGCCGTGACTCTGGCCAGTAACTGACCTTGAGCTTTATTTTCAACTTCTTTTCATCCTTAAAACGACTACTGATTGGCACACCCATTCCTTATCATGCTAGGACATGAGATTAAGCAAGAAAACACAACCTAGTTTAGAATAGGATGATATTGATCAAGTTTCGAGTCAAAACAGCCAAGTGACGAAAAAGTCATGTTAAACTTAGAGTATTATGCTAGGAAGCAAATATAGTACGAAATCAATCTCACATAGCAAAGACAATGATTATGGCATACAAACACCTAAGAAATGGAAGGTTAAATGACACTATTATAGGTGTTACCAATAATCAAAGTTTGTCTTTGGCACCTTAGCTCTTGGAGGCTATTTTTTTATAGGATCTTATATTATGTACATATCTAATAGCAGAGATTTACCTCTACTTTGTAGATAAGTAAATTGTCATAGTTTTTTAATAGATTATGTAACATCATGAGCTTTTTCCGAGCAAGATGTCTGTTTTGGGTCTAGACCCATATGGTTTTTTCTTTGAATGCATATCAAGATGACTTCCCATGAGACAACCATCCTTGTGCTTTTCCACAGTGAGAACGTTTAAATTACAAAAACTCTTTCATTTTACCTCAATACGCGTCATGTCAGTTCAAACCGGTTTTCTTACTTATAAACTTTGGATCTCTCCCGTACACTGTCGATGTTGAATTTTTCTGAGATGTTACTGATTTTATCTATTTCATTGCGTTGAATTAGACAAAAATATTAAATTAATAATGATCTACAATATAAATAATCATTACTTGAAATTAATTTATTTAAATTTCTATTTTGTTTCACCCACACACTCTCCTTCTCCCTCTTTGCCTAATAATATGTTTGCCTAATATAAATAATATGTAGTGGATGAGATGGGATAGACATTGGGAACCAAACAA